GCTGGACATTCGATATCACAAGATAGGTAATTTATTTTGGATGTTTTAGATCTTACATGACTCATAATTAATATACAGTGAAAACAGTACTTATAGTTATGTGAGAACAACTGTGTCCTTGACTTTTCTGTTTTTATGTGTGTGTGGAGACAATATAGTATCATAGAAACTAATTACTGTTTTCTTTCTCTTGCAAAATTGGCTTTAGCCAGTCTCATCCCCCTGTCTAAAAGTATATCCACTTCAGTAGAAAACCATAGCTGTCCTGCCAAGCCAGGATTATCCCTGTCTTGGCAGAAGAAACACAGCTGCAATCAGTTTAGAGTGTATTTGCTATCCTGTACAAATTCTGGGATGCAGTAATGTGATAGCTGCCAGAAACTCTGCATAGACAAACACACTCAGCACTGCAGTTATTTTGTAATGCTGTAGAACACATTGGCTGTCAGCATACACACTGGAAATTCTATTTCAGTATAATTTGGCTCTGCATCCCTAATTTATAATATGTTTACTGTAACCAAAGTGTCAAAATATTCCAAGATCCAAAAGGAAAAGAGAGATTAGATGTGCTTAACAAGCCAAATTCTCCATGGATGACTAACATGAAAGAAAATAGGGATTGAAACATACACAAAGAAAGAAAGAAGGGGAAACCTTGGTGGGTGGCTAGAAACCAGTAACATTATAATTTGCTTTGTCAGTAAATAACTGATTTGGGGCTTTATTTTACTTTTACTGGCTGGTTATTCTAAAAGAGTACATTCGGTGTTTTAAAGTTTATTAATTTTTGGCAAATCTTAAAAAAAATAGAATGGTTTTAATTAAAATAATGTCAGAAATTACAGACAGGATATTTCAAGGAGCATGAAGGAGAAACTTGCATTAACTTGTGCTTGATATAGCTGGGAAGGAAGCCACTCACTGTTTTTGTTGCAGTACGGTATATTGCAATCAGGTGCTGACTTGCAGTGCACAAACAGGATGGACTGGGCCCAAAAAAATTGTTAAGAGTAACTTTTCTTAATGTATCAAAAAGTAATTTAAATAAAACTTTTTAAAATGAAACTGTATAACTGGGGACTGATTCTCCAAACACTCAGAAATGAATAAATTTATACACCTCAGCATTTCCAGCCAGTGTTTAGACTAGTAATGGATACAAGACTAAGGACAAATACCTGAAAAGAGGGTATTTTTCACTTTAATGTTCTAAAGTGAAAGCCTCTTGTTACAAGCTCACGTTACAACCTCAAAATAATAGAATGGCTTGCATGTGAATTAGTCTTGATTTGGTTTGTTCTGCTTTTTTTAAAGCAGATTATTTTGCTTGATTGCCCTTTAATTTGTTTTTTATTCACAATTAACTGTGGTGTTAGTATGTACATGAGGTACTTGGCAATTCTGAAAGGTACTCTTCAGGCATTTTGAACATGGGCTTTTCTTAGCTAGGTGGAATATTTATTGTTTGAAAGGTACCTTTTTTTCCCCATTGGCTTTTTTTTTCCCCTTATAGGCAAAGAAACTTTTCAGAAAAAGTGGCATATGCAGCTGATGATGTAAGTATTTGATGGTGAAATTCAAAAGTACATTCACAGATACTGTAGGAAGAAACAAGAGGGACATGTAAACCATGAGTTTAAAAAAATCATAGGTACTTTCTTGTCAGTTGGTGCCGAACTTTGATCGTCCATGGGTGCAATAGCAGGTGATTTGTCCTGTTTTGATCCTGACTCTTTGTAGTGGTAGTAGGTTGGAGCTTCTGCTGGTGCAGCCATCCATTAAACGGAGATGGTATGTTTGCAGTAGTCAAACTGATGCAGACTTCCTACAGTCAGTCCCTTTGAGCCCCTTGTATTTGTTGTAACTATTTCTAAAATTATGTCAGGCTTTTTAAAATTTTATTATTGCAACACAGATAATGCACTAGGAGAGAAATATGATCCCTCATGAAGCCCAGCAGCCTATGTAGTACTGCAGTCAAGCATGTTAGAATGTCCTGGCTTAGATCACTGGAGGAAGGAGAATGAGTGTTGAGGTTGCAAATCTAAATGACATTCCAACATTAATTGAGGCCATTACCAAGATAAAAAATTTTAAAAGGCTCAGTAGTGTGAGCTAAGGTTAAAGTATTAACTTGGGGTTTAATTTGTTTAGCTGCCATAGTTCTTAGTTGGCTGCTCACTGTTACTTACATGGTGATTAGCCAAATTCTCTTTTACAGTGTAGTGCTTAAAATATTGCTGAAGTGACCTACAGTGTGTTATGCATTTAAATCTCCCAAATTATAGCTTCATTAGGCAGATCTCACTTGCATAATGTGGATAATTATATATATATGTACATATGCAATTAGGTAACTAATGGAGCACATGAAGAGATTAGGAAAGAGTAAATATGTCAGGAGATAAAAAGCAGGGACCTGTAACGGTAGACATAGTGTTCTGGATGCCACAACCCATTCACTCTACTATAAAATATCACAACCATCTCTGACCTGTTAAATTTTATTGCATTAAAATGACATAAGACAATATTTAGGTTTTGGATTATTCCATATAGATAGATACCTGATGTATTAAATATCTTTATGTTTACAGGCAAAGCAATGTCTGCTTGCTTTTGTGAGCTTATGAATTTTAGTTTGTATGAGAATCACCTGGTAACCTTCAACATGCTAACCTCATTAAACATTTCAGGAATATATATATAAGCATGAACTTGATTGTCAAATGAAATTTGGAAGTTACTAATGTCCTGTTTTTGGAAAACACAACATAGACTTCAAATGTTTTATTAGTTTGCCTTGACATTTATTTTGTTAAAATACTTTCCAGTTTTGATCAAACACCTTAAGTCTTTGTATTAGTTTCTTAATAGGAATTTATCTTTTTTAAAAAAAAAAAAAGAATTTGTTGTAAAAATCCTTCTTACAAAAACCAGTCAATTTAGACTTATTTAACAAAAGTAAAGGAAAATAATGTTTATTGTCTGTTTATTTTGCTTTCAACAACTGCAGGTGTTATACTTGTGGCTAGGATAAATACACAATTTTCAGATTAAATTATGGGGCTTTATTTGTTATTGAGCTTTTAGTTGCAACCCAGGCAAAGTTTGTATTTCTAGAAACAAGTTAACCATTTTCCAAAGAAGTACTTATGATTTAAAGGAGTTTTTAGGTCAAGGTGAAGGAAGTTTCTCTGTGATGGAGGTGCTGAGTTTATTAGTTTTGCTTTTTAGATCATGCCTGTCTTTCCAGACTTCTTCCTGAAAATACTTTATGTGTCTAACATAACCAGGCAGTCATTTGCCGTGATTATTTTAGAGCTAGTGTGTGTTAGAAAACAGAACCACATTTTAGAATCAGATTCACAGTGCAGTCCAGCATACGTATCGGAAACTATGCTTGGATCTTTTGGACAAGCTTCGACTCGGCATTGTTCCTGGATTGGACCGCAGCTCTAGTAATATGCTGATCTGTCTCATTTATGCTACAACTTTGTCTTGTTGTAGCTAGAATAGGGAAGACCATGACAGAAGTTGCAGTATAACTTAGCTTTGCTTCTCTTCTGCCAGGAGCTGTGGTAAGACTTCCTTCAAACTGTCTGCAGACAGGCAGAATTGACACTTGGACAGAGTGGTTGTGTATCTTTTTGTGAGACTGAGATTACATAAATTCTATTTAGTCTTTGAGTATTTTTCTTTTGTTTATTTAGAGATTCGTATCATTCTTTGAAAGACACATAGAGTCTTTTCTGTAATCTTGCTTATCTTGTCTAGAGAATCATACCCATTCTAAGACTTAAAAAAGGCTTAACATTTTACTGGATGAACAGAAGACTATTTCATTTCAGTTTTTGGGCTACTTAAAGATTTTTTTGCTTTTTGCTTTCCTGTGTGTGCCCAGCTCCTCAACATAACACTAACAACAGTCTGAAGCTTGTTGTGCAATAATGGTGGAGAGTCAGTACACGTCACACATCAGGCTGAGCCCCTCCACACGGATGAGGACACTGAGCAGTGGTGATATTGTCACTACCTTAAAAAATGAGCAGATGAGGTACTGAATGCACAGGCTCTTCTTGGTGGTGACAGCACAATGGGGAATGAGTGCAATCTGAAATATGGGAAATTCAGCTTAAACATGAGAAGAAGCCCTGAGGGTAATCAAACACTGGCACAGGTCTCCCAGAGGGGGTGCGAACTCTCCATCTTTATGGATGCTCAAAACCTGACTGGACACAGTCCTGGGCAGCCTCTGTAGGTCACCAGCTCTGAGCAGAGGTTGGGCTCAATTATCTCTGTAAGTCCCTTCCCATCTCAAACATTCTGTAATTCTGATCCAGGATTCTGCCTTCTGTTTTTCTGTAGTTCTGTCCATCTCTGGAGGTTGTGCTGTGTGCACTGGTGAAAACAAGTCCCATGTTTGAATGAGCAGCTCTAAATTTGCCTGGATTCACAGCACTAAATGTAGACACTTAAATGAAGTGCCTAATTGCTGAAGTGATGTTGGAATCCAACTTCCTTTGTCACAGAGAAAAGAAGGTGTGTGCCTCTACATTACAGAATCACAGAATCAACTGGGTTGGAAAAGACCTCTGAGATCACATCCAACATGTGGCTGAACTCCACCAGGTCAACTAGACCATGGCACTAAGTGCCGCATCCAGTCTTTCCTTAAATGCCTCCAGGGACAGTAGTGACTCCACCACCTTCCTGGGCAGCACATTCCAGTATCTAATCATCCTAGTGTCCTCCCCTAGCACAGCTTAAGACTATGTCCTCTCATCCCATTGCTTCTCACCTGGGAGAAAAGGCTGACCCTCACATGGCTACAACCTCCTTTCAGGTAGTTGTAGAGAGCAATAAGGTTACCCTGGAGCCTTCTCCAAACTAAACACCCACAGTTCCCTCAGATACTCCTCACAGGACTTGTGCTCCAGACTCTTCACCAGCTCTGTTGCTGCACTTCTCTGGACCCTTGATTAATTCCTTTCAAATGGATGGCTAGGAGACTGCACTGAATATCAAGGAAGGCACAAAATTCTGCTGTTTCTTAAAGAATTAACATGAATTAACACAGCCCTCCTTTCCTTAGGAGATTTTGGGAGCCCTTTAACTCCCTCCTTTCCTTGGGAGATAACTTTATAATAGATCAGATGGCCATAGCAAATGAAGACATTATCACTCCCCAGTTGCTTATCACAACTAGAATTTTATTCCTTTAAGCTGTCCACACCAGTCTTAGTTGCACTGAAGTTGACACTGACACATGAGGAGCAGTCACAGTCTCACTTACATTGTCTGTGCTGTGGAACAGCAGTCTTGGAAAAGGGGGCACAGCATTCAGCAGATACAGAGTAACAAGCAATGAGAACTTATAATTACCCCAGCTGGATTCTGTGATCATGGCTGTATCTGGTATTGCATATAACTCATTGGAAATGATTTCTCTGCCTTACGTAATTTCACTTACTGATCTGTTACCCAGGCCTGGGGAGTCATGCTTGGGTGTCAAGACAGATAGTGAATATTTATGATTGTGGATATTTCTGAAGTATCCTTTTGTCATTTTCATGATCCTTATGGCAATGAAAGAACTCAGACTGGGAGTATTCTGTAACTCTGGGATGCAAAAAAGATTCTTCAGTGTTCATGTGAGACAGCAGTATGGATTTCACAAACCCTATTGACAGGGAAACTTGATGAGATTCTGTAGGCCAGCAGCTGTGGTGGATATGTTAGGCCATACTGAGCTTCCGAGAAAGGAAGGTCATTACAAATGCTCATATGAAACTGCTGCCTATTAACAGTTAATTCTTTTGTTTCTATGTTACACAAAGAGGTTTTTTCTATCTCATTTCTCACCTTAGAGAAAGCTGATCTGCAAGTAAATTTGATATCTGAATCAGAAATGTCTTCCATAACTCTATTTGCTTTTTGTGTTTTTGTTTTGTTTTGGTTGGTTGGTTGGTTTTTTTGTGTTTGTTTGTTGTTGTTGTTGTTTTTTATCTTTTTCCTTTCCCCCATAGCCTGTTGGTTGCCAATCCTATTAGATTTTCTGTGTCAGGCCATTTTGTAGCAAAGTGTTGTACTGACATCTGTACTCCGCTAATTTTGGCAGTACTGGGGTAGGTAACATACCTCATTATGTAGAGTAAGTGTTCTGTCATCATTACTTTGATAATGATACATTTTCTTTCTGCAAAGAAGAAGAAATACTTGTAAACTCAGAGCAAGAAATTTGATGTTTATTAGCCATTTGCCTGCTGGACATACTGCTATGCAATCATTATTTGCTCAGCTCTTTATGAGCTTCAGTCTGTGGCAATACTCATTTGAAGGCCACTAGTTCAGCATTCCAAGCCACTTGTCTGAAGCACATTAGGAATTTCAGCACTCCCATCAAATGCAGTTCTGTAACCACAGGTTAGTAAGGTAGAAAACCTCCTTGAATGGGAAGAATTATTTTGTGTGCTAGCGAGCTTCCACCCAAATTCTTGTAAACCCCCACATAATTTTTCTTTGCTTCACTCAGCAATTAGGCAACTTCTGCCATGAGGAGCAGAAGGGCACAGAATTTGCTACATAAGGCATGTCAGTCTGCTGTGATTGTACTCTGGTAATAGTATAAAGAGCTGCTTACATATTTGTGGGACTTACAAAGCTACTGTATAATTCATCTGGAAAGTGGATTCCACTAAAACCTCATGGAATTCTACCAATTGTGCTAGTGCAACTCTTCCTCACAGTTGTGGACTAGCTTGTTATTTAATGAAAGGTGCATCTTGTGCTTAGTTCTAGACATAACTATATATGAAATCAGTTTAAAAAGGCACTGTGAAAATTTGCCCAATAAGAAAAAAGAGCACTTTTTGCCATTTTTTCTACCTGGTGGTGGCAGTTAGGAATGTTGGGTTTACTTGCCTGTGACTTTCTAGGTACAAAAGAAGTTCATGTAAGGGTTTGTATTTTTCTGTCGAACTTAAGTGCATGTTTTGTGATGGTTGTTATTTAATAACCTGAATGGGGTTTGAAATCCTTTCTTGTGGTCTTGCTAGTTCACTGCAGTGTACAGCCTCTGAAGCAGCCTTGTGTGTTGGTGACTGAAGGCCCTTGGACTTCCTGATCCTTACTTACTGCTGTCAACTGGAACATTAGAATTGATACATATTTCTTGTCGTGTGTGTGCCTGTCATACTAACTATAAATATTTTGATTTTTTTTTCTCTTAGGAAACTGTCCTTGTCAAGTGTAGCCGTCCTGGCCATGCATCAATAAACAAGACTTTTCAGTTTGAGAGGTGGGTAGTCCTGTGCAGCAATCGGGAAATCTGGATTAATGGAATATTTGTATAGTGAAGACTGATTTTTTTTTTTTGTAGGCATTGGCTAGAAGGTAATGCTTTTTTTTTGTTGGGTTTTTTTTTTTGGGTGGGGTGGCTGGGGGTTTAGGAGAGAGAGAGGTTGTTGGGGTTTTTTTAGAGTAATATTTATGTTCATTCCAGTGCAGAATAGTGCACTGTGGGGCATAGATGACTGTGCTCCCTCTCAATAAAGGCTGCTGATATGCCTAAATTTGAAACCTGTATAGACTTATTTGACTCTTTTCACAATCTGAGTAGCTGTCATGATCCTTGCAACACGTTGCGAGGTAGCAAAATATTTTAAAGGTAAGGAAAGGATGTTTGTCTTTCAATACTTAGAGGGCTTATAAGAAAATAGGGCCAAACTTTTTAGCAGGGCTTGTTGCAATAGGAAAAGGGGTAATAGTTTTAAACTAAAAGAAGGTCGATTGAGAATAGATATAAGGAAGAATTTTTTTATAATGAAGGTGGTGAAATATGGGAACAGGTTTCCCAGAGAGGGAGTAGATGCCACGTCCCTGGAAACATCCAAGGTCAGGTGGGATGGGGTTCTGAGCAATCTGATATAGTTGAAGATGTCCCTGCTCAGTGCAGTGGGGTTATTCTAGGTGACCTTTAAAGGTTCCTTCAGACCAAAGCCATTCAATGATTCTATGAATTGAGGTGGATTGCATGACTTCAGCATTAGACATAGAGCATGACTGAGCCAGAAACTGGACTGAGCACTTGTAAGAGTTGATGTCCAAACGGCCTGAACACAGACAGCAGGGTAGAGTAGTGGCATGTAAATCAGTGCTCCCTGAGGGAAAGGCTGTAGTGTGACTACTTTCCACGTTAGGTGCTCAAAAATCCACATAGAGGAGTGTGATTTTGAATGTGCCAGTTGTGATAAGGGTTTTGGTGGAACATCAGAGAGTCAGTCTGAGACAGAAAAATGCGAGGAGTCAGGCTTGAAGGGTGCCTTCTGTTCTTTCAGAATGGTGCTGACCTGAACCTCTGAAAACAGGAATGAAGAGTTAAATTAATACAAATGAGATTTCTGTAAATAAAAAAAAAATACAAAATTTTACCCCAGCGCCTTTTTTCTAATGCAAACTTTCTATCTGTATATTGCAATGACTCGGTAGGCTCTCAAGCTCCAACCATGTTTCAAAACCCTCCGGAAAGAGAACACATGAGGACAATTTCATGCTTTATTGCTTGAAGGCAAAACCTGATTTGAAGTCAAATGTACGCAACATGAATTATCTGTCCTGGTTTAAACTCAGTGTTTAGCCTGAATTGCCATATGTTTGCTAAACATTGATAGTCATTCACCCTTTCCTCAAGGCTCCTTCTAAAATGCTGCCTTTTTCTGTTCACAGAGACTGGGGACTGCTGTCCTGTAGGCCACCATGCACTTGAAAATTCCTGAAATATTGCAAATCTTGGTGAAGCTTTACTGACCCCCTAGGTTATAGGATTCCTTTGATTCAAAGCGTATCAGATCTCTTAGGGTACATGGACCCCTCACATGTCTGCTAAGCTACTCAAAGTAAATCCTTTCACCTTTCAACTGTACCTAACACAGCCATGCTAGTTGAAGTAAATGCAGAATAATGCTGGAATTCAACTCTGTAGAGTAATACAGTTAATGATATTGACACAGGACTCCAGAGTGCTGTGACTCTGGAAATGTGGTGTAGATCCTGATAATCAGGAAAAGGGTTAAAAAAATGTAAATCCCCCAAAGAATGCAGTTCTTGGGGAATGTTTTTTTAATGTCCCAGCACAACTCTTTTTTATAAACAGAGAAGCATATGGTTCTTATGAACTCAAAAATGTTTATTTTTTTAGCAACATTTTATGGAACTAATAAATGTCAAAATATTTGATTTCAGCTCAGGAAGAAAATTCCAGCTTTCAGCATGTTATGCTTTTGCGATTTTATTGGCAAATCAGTTAGCAAAATAAAAAGGAAGCTCAGAATTTTCAAGGTGAAATTAACATTAATCAGTATACAGGGACAAATCTATCATCATTCTGGTAAAAATACATGGAGTTAAAGAAAGAGATTCTTTGGATTTGCAGCATCTTTCATGGTTTCAGATAGCTAGTGAAGTGGGTGTCCATGCTTCAGCTGGTGCTGTGGTTACAGTGTAGCACAAAATAGTTCAAGATTACTTTAAACCACTTTGTTTGGGTAGGGGTAGCATATGAGCATCAGCAGCTAAGTAGTGGCAGTAAAACTCCTTTAGGTAGTTGAGTAAATATTTGGAGTGGTTACTGTAACATGGAGCCCTGTGCCTTTCCTCCCTCCGATAGGCTACCAGAGCCTGACCCTGACATAGCTATCTGTGGCTGTACTACTTGGAGGTAATGACCTCAAACTGCACTGCACTCAATTTCTTCACGGAAAGGGTGGCTACGCATTGGAATGGGCTGCCCAGGGAGGTGGTGGAGTCGCTATCCCTGGAAGTGTTCAAGAAACAACTGGACGTGGTGCTTAGTGCTGTGGTTTAGTTGACAAGGTGGTGTTTGCTCAAAGGTTGGACTTGATGATCTTGGAGGTCTTTTCCAACCTTAATGATTCCGTGATTATAATTTGCAGTGCAAATGAACTGCTAAGACTGGTTCACTCTACCCTGGGTTGTGGCCGGTAGCAGCCTGTTTGCTGTCTTAGTCCACAAAAGTCATCAATGGCATCTGAAGACACAGCGAATGTTTTAGTCTTTAAAATACCTTTCTAAGTTTGTTTTTTCTCCTTTCCCTTTTTTAATTTATGTATTAGCTCTGAGATGTTTTCATATGTTAAGAAAAAATATTTCAGCACATACTGAGTTAGAAGCCTAGTTGTTTTAAGATGGAGGACTTGATGCTAATGAATATTTCATCAAGTGCAGATAATAGATGAAGCAGAGAAAAGTGTTTGGAAGTGCTTTTGCACTCTTGTATTGGCCTTGCAGATTTGATGTGCAAAGTTTACTGAAGCATATGCTCATACGCATGCAAAGCAAGGATGGAGTATTGCTATTCAGTGTCTGTGTCCTCCTGGTACAAACTGTACCACATCTCTGCATATTTGTTGGTTTCTCTGTGTACTGTGAGGGCACATCTGTGAAATGGCAGTAGAAGCAGTTTGTGTCCATCAAGCCAGACAAGTGCTCCTTTCCTGATTAAAGAGAGTACATTTTCATGGAACTTACAATTAGTCTGTGGAACACGTTGCCACAGGATGTTACTTCAAGCCAAGAATTCAGCAAGATGCAAAAAGAAACTGAATGCTAATTCTAATAATATTTTTTTTGAAACAGAGATTCAACTCATATTTCAATTTTGAGGCCAGTTTAAGGCTTTTAAGGATTAGGATGAGGCACAGAGATGAATTATTGTGTCTCCAGCCACCACAGTGTTTCTCGCTCCTTCCTCTGTCTATTGTCAGGAAAAATGCAGAACTCAGTGCATTGGCTCCAGTTCTGTATCTGTTTATCAGTGATCCCTCTGCACAGTCTTATTTACAGAGAACATGAATACAAAAACTACATTTGTGGAGTCTATAGACTGTAGCAGACAGATCATAGTCAGATATACAAAGAGGGTTGAGTAAATGCTTGAGTAAGAGCACACTTTGTCTTCATTCAGCTAAACTTGTAGTATCACACACAAGCTGTGGGATACTGCTAGGTGAAGTCTACTAGTGCACTGTATACACAGGAAAGTACCTATGTTTTGTAGTGTTTGCTGCTACCAAAATTCCTGTTTCTAATTAGCCGTTTTGCTGTGAGCTATAAGGAACACGTATCACTCACTGGAAAGAAGAGCTAAACAAAAAAATCAAAAAAAAATCACGACAGAAAGATACCAGAAAGGGAGCTTTTGACAAAAATAGGCATTCATACCTCAAATATTTAAGTGTGGGTAATGACATTCATGTTTTAGATTCTGTTCATCTTGTATAAACAATGCGTACTGCAGGCTATAATCTTGGGGAGGATACATTTTTGGTGTGCTAGAGAAGAAATGAATGAGTTAGGATGTCCACGTTTTATGATCAGAATTTCCTCTCTCTCATGATTTCCTATTTTCAGGTCTTGATTTTATGTTGTTACAAACTTGAAAGGGTTGGAGAAAAGATTTCTTTGAATATCCTGTGTTTGGTTCTTTTCTCCCTGCATTTGAAAAACATATGGGATTGTTTCAGACATCATTGTTTTGGCCCAAGGATTGAACTGTCGTTGCTCTTTTCTAAGAGGCAGAATAACTCATTCAATTTAATTGTCTTTCACTGTCTTTGAAAGTTAATCTGCAATCCATATTACAATGTAATAGGAAGATTTCCCTTGAGTGAGAAGTGTTGATTTCAGAGTAGGTAGTTCATGGGGGTGGAGATGGAAATACCTTAGGCTGATACTGCCCACAAAGACAGTGCATCTTTAAACATGACCCTCAGGCATGTTCTGATTTCTGCTCTGCCATTGAGTCTTCTGAGGCAAATCCCCAGGCAAGTTTGCAGCCTGTGTACCTCTTACAGTGTACACCTCTGGCTCTTCCCTCCAGCACACACGACAGCTGCTCCCAACACGTGAGTGAGAACCTTGGAGTTCTGATTTTCAGTTCCCTGACATAAAAATGTCAGCAGGCTCCATGTTTTATGTCACTGGCCTACATTTTCCATAGTTTGCATTCCTGTATTGTGACAACATCTTTATATTTTTAATTTGGTTAATCACTGCACTTTTTTCCTCAGAGTTTACAATGATTCGGAGTCTCAAGATGCAGTGTTTGCAGATGTTGCCCCTTTGCTAACATCTCTTCTGGATGGGTAAGTTAAAAGGTGGGAGTAAGAAAGCTAAATCACAATAATCTACTAAAATCCATAAATTAAAGAAGAAAATTACTTAATAGTGGTGATCCAGTCAAGTTTTGTGGCTTTGCAGTTCCATTTTCCTGTTTTCTTTCTACTCAACACCAAGTGAATGTTGTTTCCCTGTATAAACAGATGAAAACACTTTACAAAATTTATCAGAACAGATAAATTTGTAAAAATAAAAAGAGTTTTTTCCTCTGGTCTGCTTCTGGCAAACTGAAGCATCACTTCTAATGGAGGATGGTGTCTTTTCTCCTTTGCATTTTTGTAGGTTGTGTTTCATAACCATTTTCCAGTTGCAGAAATGGTGTATCATAATACATCTTGTCCAACAGTTCACATATGAAGGGCCTGCCAGGGCCACTCTTAGTTCTGGTTGTGTGCACAGCACAGGCCGTAGGATGTGGTGTGATCGATTCCTGGTTGAACCAGAACGGAGCATCCTCAGTCACAGTTCTACTCCTTCTTCAAGCACAGGGGTAAAACAGCATTCTGGTTTGAATAAAAGACGGACCAGTAACAAGCACTAGCAAGTAGATGAAATTATTTCTAGCCACTGAAGTTCATAAAGTGATTTCTCATTTTTACTAGAGCCAACTTAAGCTATTCTTGCAAAGAGGCCTTAAAGTGCATACTGTGATATACCTTGAGGCTTGAACTGAGATTTGTACATAACTTCCTTTCTGCTCCTTTTTCATCCCTGCTCCAATATCACTTAATTATATGGTAAAGCTGTCACTTACCTTTCCCTCCCCGTAGAGGAAAAGACAGTTCCTTTCCTTCCACAGTGGCATAGTTGAACTGCGGCAGTCCTTGTTCCTGGCAGGCTGTGCACTGAAGTTTCCAAGTCTCCATTTCTTAAAAGTGGCTTAGAAGAGGTCTATCAGGATACTGTGGACATTGGGAAATCCCAGACATCCCTTTGCCTATGCCACAGAGGGACCCCCAAGGGCTACCTGGGCTGAGGGAAGTCATATATCACATTATTCTTGTTTACCAGTGATGAGTAACCACAGCTTCTGTAGCTAAGCAACTAGGGACCACTAGGTTGGAGAAGTGTAAAGAAGTCTTACAACTGCTGTTTTCTCCTCCTACTTTTCCTTTTGCAAAGAACATAATTTTACTTTGGCTCAGTATGTTGCTTAGGTGTCTTCAGATATACCCGATTTGTACCTTGATCTGCTCTACTTCCACTTTCTAATTTCACACTGGGAGACTCCTGTTCTAACATCCAGCATTTTTGTTTTCAGTTAGGAAATATTCTGTTATTAAAAACAAAAAATCTTTCTTGTTCTTCCAGAAGTACTGTTTAAATAGAAGCAGATTTTCAGGGAAGGCAAGTGTGTGCATATGAGCACAGCAGCCTTCCTATTGTAAATGGGAAACAGACATACTTAGTCTGAACCTTGAATCTCTTTGCTGCTCCTGATTGTTTTAGTCTGGGTTCTAAAGTGGTCTGTAGCAACTTTTAGCTTAAGTGGAAAGGAGTGTTCTGCTCCTTCTCCTTATTTTTTCTTTATTTTTCTTTCTTAATGAATTGTTTCATTTTTCAGTATAAATATACAGGAAGAAAAGGTTGTTCCATATGCAAAACAGACAAAGTTCAGCAGGCTTCAAAGTTTACAGTGAGCCATACAGGACCAACAAGGGAATAAAATAATATTTCTTTTCTTTACAGCATTGAAGAATCAAACTTTTTTCTTTATTTTAAAGCGGAAAATATATTTCTCCTCCTTTTGATTTTCTTTAACGGTGTTCTCTCCTAGTCATAACTTTACTGTAGTGAACACCCACACTCTTTTCAGGAGAGAAGTGCTACAAAACTACTGGTATTCTAGCTTGACAATAAGAATTTTCTAAACAAGAATATAACTGTTATATAGTAAGAAGTAGAGTGGAGAAGGAAAAATATCTGGTGAATCATAGTAAAAAATTTTTAGACTTCTCTATTTGAAACCTTTATGTTGTAACCAGAACACCAATGAAGTAAACTATTATTATATAGGTAAATATATAGTAATTTGGTGCTTGTTGAATCCCCCAACATTCTCTCCTGTGCCTACTTAGATATAATACTGCTTTGGCCAGTTTTAGCTCATTTAGGCTTCCTGAAGTATTGTTTTGGCTTTGGCAGAGAAGTTTCCACTGATTGATACCCAATTTGCATCTCTCTCTTCAATGTTCCAATCACCTATCTACTTCACTTCTAATCATATCATTTGTATCCTGTCAGAAATGTTTTGTCCATGATGTTTACTGCCTTCTAACAAGCAGCAATTAAGGAAAATTTGATTAGCTGGACTATGGGAGAGTCTGAAGACTTCTAAGAAGACTTTAATTCTGTTTTTCCTGAGCAAAACTACAACCTGCAAATTTTTGGCTCCCATTTTGGTTCCAAAGATCTCTTTGATTTTGAAGTAGGGCTAGAAGTCTCAATAAGCTACAGGTGGCCAGGCAGTGTGCATGAGGGGTGGAATTGGGAAAATTGCTCATTATTAGTCTAGCTGAAAACTATTAAAGTTAGCATGAGCATTTCTACTGACATAAATGCAAGTAGTCATGTCAGCACTGAATACTTCAAGAAATCTTCTTTGCAGATTTACAGCCCTAATATCCATCACATTTAATTTTGCTCCAGTGCTATTTGTTTTCAGTTACAGTTATCTCCTTTACCTCATCAAATCTATGATTAGACTCCTATTTTATACTCTGCATCCTAAAAATCTGGAGGGACCTTACTAAACTTTGATCTCACATCCCCAGGAAAGGTCTCCCAGGTATTTGCTGTGTGGCTTATCAGCCCACATTTCCTTCTAACAAGAGAAAGCTTTCTAAATAATCTTCCCAAAATAATTGCTTCTAGGCATGTTTAATATGCAAAAAATAGCTGCAGTGGCCATGTAAGTATTTCATGACTTGAAGCCATACATTAAAAACAATTGGATGAGGGGTGTTCATTGAAATATGCTGGCATGTGCTTGAAACAACATTTTTGATATGAGGAAAAGCATCGCATAACCAAAAGCAGCTGTTTCAGGTCTGCCCACAGAGGAGGTAGCTTAGGCAGTGAAATTTTACTCCCTGGCAGAACAGGAGCAAGTCCATTCTTGCAACTCTCTAGTAGAGCAGAAATTTCAGCAAAGGGCAAAGCGCTCCTCGTGTATGGAGATTCTGCTAATGTTGTGTCTCTGAACAAACAAAGATAGTCCAGGGAGGGAGTGGTCCTGTCAGCATAAATGCACGTCTTCCAAGGGTTTTGCTGGCACAGTTCTGTGGTCATCACCAAGATGCTGGCAGGTGCTGCAGAGCAGATGCAGCCCAGGAACCAGAGTATCGGTCCTCCCTACAAAGCAATACTGTGGCTGGATGCGTCTGTGCCCGCCCACCTGTTTTGTTTAAAGTGCTGACTTTGATCTCATTGTGTTAGAAACACACTTTCTAGATAGGATTCATACCTTTAAGTTCAGATCCCTGAACAGCACAGACATCCACCACTGAGCTCACAGCTGTGGACTATTTTTTTAATTATTTTCAGTGCAGTGAAAAAGGCAGTTTCAGAGCTCTGTTCATTAGATGTATTCACTTGTTTACTTCAAAAGGTGGTTACTTGTGTTTCATAGATGCCTGTACCTCTGCACTAACACTGTACACTTTTCATCTTCTACTTGTCCATATCAGAGTAGTTCTTGCCACCTTTATTCTAGGGTAGTCATTTGTAGGCATGCTCGTACTGAACTAATGCTTTTGGTTTTAAATTTGTGCCTCCTATTATTAGGGCTGTCTTCTCTGACTGAGAGCTATGACTGATGAGCCTGCCTGAAAAAGGCTGTGAGAGAGGAAGAGTTCCCAGCTGTTAAAGGCACTAGTGCAGTGGTTTGCAGCACAGCACTGTAAGACAAATCAAACCCAGTGATGGTTTACTTTAAAATGCTGTCCTGTAAACTGCAGGGGCTCACGAGCTGATTTACAAGCAGCTCAGTAGTGCACTTACTGGAAGTTGGGCAGACAGGACATCTAACCTCATCAGTCATTCCAAGCCAAGCATCCCTTAAACTTCTTAAAAGCATCCCTTCAACTCTGCTTAAAAAATAAAATCTGTTTAGGTGATGTTATGAGCAGTACTTTAGTTACTGCCAGATTTTGAGATCTCCAGAAGGAAATCAGGGGCAGTGTATTTATTTTTTTGTTTCGGTTTGTGTTCCCAAATTTTTTGGGGTTTGACTTGCCACCTAATAAATGCATTTGGTAACAGTAAAATAAATGAAAGCCCTTTTAATTTTCAGGTATAATGTGTGTATCATGGCTTACGGGCAAACTGGAAGTGGGAAGACATACACAATGTTGGGACCACAGGTAGAGGGGAACTTTTCATTCGCTGTAGAAGATGAATCAGAACTTGGAATTATTCCTCGAGCTACCCAAGAAGTGTTCAGGTAAAAATTAAGTAAAGGCTTGTTGTCAGTGGTAGTCACCTTAAATTTCATAGAAAGAATGAAATAATGTTTTTATCATTAGAGATTTCAGCTTCGGAATGATTAGTATTTATATCTTCTCTGACTGCTGTTTGATTTTTTTATTTTTTATATGGATTTCTAGTCTCTCTCCTGCTTAATCTGATTTTCTAAGACAATAAGATTATGCAGTCTTGCTGTGTGTTATCATCTGTCCATCTGTCTTTCAGACTCCTAATTAGCTCTTGAAAATGTTTCAACCATAGTTGTGGAGTCTAAAAGATAATTAAGTTCTTACAAGTTTAGTGGAAATTGACAATTGAATAGATGAAGAGGATCCAAATTAGTTCGAAGTTCCAAAGGATAGCAGAATTTTTAATCACAATCTGCTCCTGCTTTGAGAATTTTTTTACTTGAACCTAATACAGGATCGAACTGATGTGCTGCTATGTAATAATAGGAGAGCCATTAGAGGTTTATTATTTCTTTTGGAGAAGTGTAGAAGCCAAATTAAAGATCCAGTTTTGTATGAGAAAAACTGTCTAACTGGAAATACTCTCCTGAATAGACAAACCCTTAATTTAATAATTTTCCAAGGCTGTGGACAGATAACTTCTTACAGATCTAGTTTGTCATCTGTCTGTTCATTGCTTGCACTCTACCAGATTTTATACCCTGAGCTCTGAATGCAATAACAACCAGCAGAGAAATGGTATAAAAAATCTCGAGGCAGGAGGCTAGTGGAGAAAAACAATGTAAGCAAGTATAGCTGTTTGGAAAGGTAAATTTTATATACTGCTTCATGTATAATTTAACTGTGTATTCAGATTCTTCAACTTAACATTATCATATGGAAGAGACAAAGCCATAACTGCAGATACTTAATAAGCACTTCTATCACATTGGAATTAGATTGCAATTAGAGAATAAATCTTTATTTATATGTTGCTTACTTGGAGTTTGACTTGAACATTTTTTGGCTTTTTTCTTCCTTTTTTTTTTTCTCCTCATTTTTATTTTCCAGACTTATTTCAGAAAAGCCACCAGGAACTTACTGGGTTGAGGTTTCTGTCGTAGAAGTGTATAATAATGAAATTTTTGATCTTCTGGCCAAAGACAGTTATGGAAAAGTATTTAGCATCAAGCGTGATGTTGTCACAACCAGAGAAGGAAAGAGTGACGTTCCATTGCTTACACATGAGTAAGTACATGACTTGATCCTTGCCATCCAAACATGATCTGGTGTTAATGCAATGTATAGCTGTCACAAAATTGCATTACAGGCACAAGATTGCTTCTAAACAATGAGTGCTTATCATGTGCAAAAGAACAGTTTTGTTTCTGTTGGCTCAGTCTGTTAGACTACAGTTCACTGCAAATGTCAAAATACTTTCAGAAATAACTGTACAATTAGAGTTATACTCCTGTATTAAGTGCCTTCCACTTGGAATGCCTGAATATTTCTATGTATTTTCTTGTTGCTGGGTCTATGGCTCTTCTTGTCAGCTGTACAATAAGAAGAGGTAACCTAGTCACAAAGCTCTTTCCATTTAGTCTTACTAAATTATAAAATTTACACATTATAATAGAAATTTATGTACTATTTGTAAATTTTTAGGCAGCTGTAGAAAGTTAGCTTTCTGTACATGCATTGGAGTTTAAAAAAATTTAAAAATAATTAGATTTTAAGCGATCCTCTAATACAAATATCCATTTTACTACTGCTTGGTGTTCTGTTTTCATAACTGGAGGCGTTAAAGTTGGAATTGATACGTTGGCATGTTGGCAAACCATTGATATGGTTTGAACGTGTACTTCTTGAAAATTCAGGTTCTTCCAACTAAAAGCTAAGAAGCAGCTAAGCTTCTAACCATTCACTTTTAAGATGCTTACCTTCCCACCATTGGTGTATGGTAAGTTTGATTCTTATTTACACAACTTGACACTCCCTACACTAGTGGGGAGAGCTAGGGTATTTAAGGCTACAGCTGTACTAACTGTAATGCCTTCTTTCCCTTACTAAGCATTACAAAGACTTGTTCTAGTACTCATGGGAATGATTCTTGGCATTATGTATGTATGGCATACAAAGCAAATGTATAGAATGATCTTGTTATATATATATATAAGACACCTTGGGTAATTAGATGTTCAAAATCATGTGTTCATAAAAATTCATCTACTAACAAGAGGGAATCTGTTTCAGGTACTTCATTTTACTAATGTTTATTTTAGAATGTCCTGAGTTGGAAGGAACCCACAAGACCACTGAGTCCAGTCCCAGGCCCTGCACAGGACAGCCCCAAGAATCACTATTCCAGGGCCTGACCACCTCCTGGGTGAAGAACCTTTTCCCAATATCCAATGTAAACCTTCTCTGACACAGCCTTATGCTCTTCTCTTATGTCCTGTCACTGATCACCAGAGAGAAGAGGTTGGTTTCCACCCCTCTCCTTCCCCTCACGAGGAGGTTGTAAACTGCAATGAGGTCTCCCCTCAGTCTCCTGTTCTCAAGGCTGAACAGACCAAGTGACCTCAGCTGCTCCTCATATGGCTTCCCCTCAAGGCCCTTCACCACTTCTTTGGCCCTCCTTTGGGCCTTATGGTAGTACTGTCAACATCAGAAAGAAAAAAAAAAATTAGACAAGCAGTACTAGTGGCACCAGAGAGGTGATGGTACCCAGTGGAATTAAACTACTGGACATCTCTCTGTGAGCACCCAGCATGAGAACAGTTTCCAAAAGGAAACATTTCTGCTTGCATGTTACAGAGATGTCTAGAAACATAAAAATATGTCCTGCTTCTTGAGCAAATAATCTTTGTGAAAAGAAACATCTTGCTCTATTGAAATGTTTAGAGCAGCATTATAGTTTTCTAGGTTTCTGGGGGAAACATGATGTTTTTCTTCACTTCTCTGTAATAATTCTTTGTCACGGTCCGATCCCTACTTTTCCAAGGGAGGTTAGCAGTCATATTTGAAATGCATCCCTCCTCCATGCCAATTAAAATAAAATGCACCCTCAGTGGAAATAATTTTGTCTTGTGGGACTTAGTCACATAAGCAGACCAGTAGTTGTTTGTTTATGTGGGTTTATGCTATTGCCAGAAAGCCTTGATAAAAATACAAGAATGTACTGGAGGATTGCGCAAACATACTTTTATTCTACCTAGTGAGACACATTTATTGACTTATGTTTTCTACCCATTTAATTCCTCATGGAAAAGTGGGACCCCAAAGAAATTGTCAGGTGGCTTTCTTTACTATAGGAGCTCTAGAACTCTCCTTTCTTTCTATGAAATAATAAGCACTGTAATATTCTGGGAAGGATTAACCTTTGTATCCAGGGTATGCCTGCTCTTTGGTCTTGAGGTTAAATATGATTTCCAGAGAAATTCTGCATGATTCATTGCACTCTGCATGCTCCATAAGAGCATGGAGTGAGTTAAAAGTGACCCAGAGTTTGAAGTGATGAATCCTTTTGCCCTCTCTGTCTGTATTAACAGCGACTGGTGGGTTTTTCTTTGTCCCTGTTCTTGGATTTTCCCAACTGTGTCTCTGCTCCAACCTTTAGTATCTACTTAAGGCTATGCTGTTAAGGGAATGCAAACCTCCAGAAGAGGCTGGGAGCAGAGCCTAACCTGTGTGTGCTGAATCTTTCTTGGAGGAGCTAATCTTTTGACTAGAGAGGAAAGGAACCGTATGACATAAGAAATGAAGATGGGTGCATGTAGTGTGGGCATGATGGGAGTTGAATTTTCCTGTTTCATCAGAACCTCTAAGTAGTCTTTCATTATGGTAGTTCAGTAACTAAGCTGTTGGCCTGGCTTCAGTTCATTCCCGAAAAATGCGTACTCCACTTCCCAAGGGAACTTTGCACAGTTAGTGGGTGACCCATACCTTTTCGTAGGTTTTGGAGAGGGGAGAGGTGAGATGCAGTGGGACCTGTGCCATAGAGACAAGAAGTAGAAGCTGCAATAAGGTTTCATTTGTCCTTCTAGTTAATAAAATGGCTGCTCTGTTTATTTCTGTAAATTTTAATTTATGTTAAAGGAACCTGGCGCCTTGAACTAAACCTCTTAAAAACCACTTATCTCAATCAGTTAATACTAAATTCTAATGCAAATATAAATAAAAATATGGACTTGTACTTCACTTACAATGCAAGCAGTGAAACAATTCCAATTCATAAACAGGTTATATTAATAATTACACAGAAAGGTTAATAAGAAAAAGCAAAGCCAAACAAAGTAAGGGAACCATTGAATGAGGCCACCCAGCTGCCTAAAATCTAAAGTAAACAGCTGGTGCTTTGAATAAAAACACATCCTCATTTATGATAATATTTCATCTAGAATATATTGGCCTGCTGGGTCTCACTGGCTTCTCCATATATCCATTAAAGTACAGTAGTCTCTTTCCTGCTAACATGTTCATCTTACTGAATGACAAAAACCTCAAGTCTCTTTCTTCTTTTATAGTTTGGTTGACTTTGGAGAACATTCAGCATCAAATTCGTAACCTAACCACAACAGGGCTTCTCTTTGTAGAATCTGGTCCTGGAACGTGCGGCATATAGAGCATGATAAAGTCGTAGAGATTATACTTAAATATTATTTCTGTCAGTCCTGCTGAAGAGCTACTGTGCCAAGCTCACCACACTGGGGATGCTGCTTCCCTCCAAAGCCAGCTGCAGCTGTCCAGGAGGTGACCAGCACTGACAGCACACCCTGAGGCCTGTCCTCTGCAAATGCTCATTGGAGGGCAGCAGCTCATGGCACTGACCCCTTGATAGGGCACAGCAGCAGCTTGCAGAACCCAACAGCCTGGTGCTGCATCCCAGCCAAGGCTGCGTCCCTTTCAGGGTGTCCAGTCCTGGCTGAGCAGCCCCAGGAAGATGCAGTTCAAGACTTGGGAAGGCAGGATGTGTGCCTCCTTTGACTGGAGGCAATACTCAGATCACCCCAGTATGAGGCTCTGACTGCAGGAACTAGAGCCACTGCTTTCCTGCTGGTGCCAGGTCAAACAACCAGGGAGATGTCAAAGGTTTTGCTGAAGTCCAGAAATGCTGAGATTCTCATCTAAGTTGTCAGCTTTCTCATGTGATTTTTCCTGTGAGTCAGTTAAATATCTTTCTTGTTTCTTTACTTTTTAGGACTGTTGAAAATGCATCTGAATTTTTACATCTAGTCAAGAAAGGCATACAGCTGAGAGTCAGGCACCCAACACTGGTGCATGCTCACTCCTCTCGTTCTCATCTGGTAGTGACGTTGACCATAACCACAGTTGTCTTTGGAGATAACTTTGGTAAGTAGGATGTTACTAAAATGCATCTAAAGCCAGTTGTTTTTAGAAAAACATTCTGTGGACTGTGAGATTTTCATACTGCTTTTTCTTCCCTTTTCCAATGTTTGATACATTCCCTCAGTTCTTTTCTATTTTTCTAACTTCTACATACCTTCTTAAATAACAGACCACTTGGATGTTTGAATGCTACTGAAACTTTGAGTTTCATAAAAAGTTATCCCTTTTCTTTACATGTCTTCACTTACAGAGTTCTTGAAGTTTTATAGCATCAAGCAATTAATGAATAAATATTATCAGTAAGACATAAGATAGTTAAGATCTCAGTAAGATAGATAAATAAAGTAGTTAGATCACTTAGAATGAATAATTACATGTCATACAAACTTTGTGGTAAAAAAACGCTAACCATACATTACAGGGATTGCATATGCTTTTGGGTGAGAAATAATCAAATTTTTTTTACCTGCTACCTTGCAAAAATGTCCATTAAATTCAGAGTCTCTTGAACTGTTAGTTATAGGCCACTGTATGAAAATGCAATATAGTTGTCTTATTTACTGTGGCAACATCTCTATTTTTACTTTTTATTACCACACCAAGATTTACCAGTTTATTGCTTTTGGGGTTTTTGGAGTTAACTTTATTTTCGTTTGCTCATGTTATAATTAGGCTCTCTGTTTCCAGTGCTGTGGTTCATCTCCTTCATACTCTGCAACAACACTATGATTTTAGAAAGTGGGAAATATTTAACATTTTTCCCCTTAGATTGCTATCAGAAATTAAACCAACAGTATCAGCAAAGCAGAACAAACAGTGCCCTTACTTACCTACGGGCCTTGCCAAAAGACACAGTTACTTCAGAAGTTGCAGCTCCAGTGTTTCGGATGTTAGCTCTAGGCAGCTCCAGATTCTTGTCAATCAGACTGATGTTACCATTTTCAAAACTCAGTGTTTGCACTGTTACTGTACCAGCCATCTTGTCTAGTCCAGAATTCCCTTTGCCACTTCTAATTGCAGTCACTCCACTGTGCCCTGCTGCCTGGCAGCAAAGCTCTGTAGAAATGTGTAATTGATGTTGAATGCAGACTCAGGCTTTCAGCTCACAGCACATGGATGAAGATGTGCACTGTAGGGGGACAGAGCGGCATTCCAAAGGGTACCTCACAGCAGCAGTGTGACAGCACATTCTGTCTTGTTTAAAAGGAGAAGATCCTGATTTAAAAGCTAGGTGCAATTGTCAAATACCTCAACACCAGAGTCACTAAATAAAGGGTTGTAAAGTCTGTGATGAGTTCAGCACCTAAAACCAGGGTTGACAAGCCAGCACTTTTTCAGGTTTGATTAAGGTGGTTTAGCATGTATTGTCTTTTGAGGAGAACTGTTTCGTAATTTTGTTGTCTAAAACTGAAGAGACCACTTAGTTGACACTGTATGACCCAAAGCCATTTATTCTGTGTAAACCAACACAGCTGCTCTGTCTAGACTCTGAACAGCCAGCTTGGGTTTTAGCAGCAGCCTACTTGGAGAAGTACAGAGCTCTGCAACACAGGTCATCTGCTCTTCACTCAAGTTTTGCAGCTGGAAACTTTGTACTATTCCAGCTAGACTCTTTAGGCACCCAGGAAGGTCTGTTGTCTCAGTGACTTGTAGCAGAGTATGTGTCTTTATTCTTGTATGTCTTTCAGAGAAAGAGAGAGATGGATGAAAACCAAACACTAATTAAACAGCAAAACTACTTGGGAAATTCCTTTTAAATATACTCCTGCTAGCTAATGTGAAAGCAGCTTTCCCAGAGAATCTGTCTTTGTCTTCCTTCCCAGCAGAGAGTGAAAGCCAGATGCTTCTGCTGAGGAAGAGCAAGGATAGTAGTAGATAACTAACCTGGACAAATGGGAGTAATACTATGAAGGCTAATAGCTCATCATGTGGAGATCCAGCAGTGGGATATGAGGGCTGAAGGAAGTGTAGGGGAAACAGGAAAGGACAAAATAGAAAACAAGTGATGTTAAAAATACATAGAACCAGACATTAGAGCCTACTGCTCCCAAATATCCAGAATCTCACTTTGGTTACAGGCAGTCTAAAACTTGAAAATAATGCCTCTTTAAAGGCCTTACTGAACTCCCATTTCTTGCTTTCCACATTGTATACAACACAACGTACACCAAAACTTGTTACCAGCTGGTACAATCAGTTTGATAAGTAAAACTTTAAACAGGATAGAAAAAGTCATTCAGCCTGCCCTGCCATGGATTCTGACTTGTATGTTGCTTCTGTTAGAAGAGTCTTAAACAGCAGACACTGTACATCCCCTATTGATACCCCATTTTTCCCCTATCTCAGTTTCCAGTATCAGTTAGAAGCTTTCCGCATTTGCTTTTTCCATTAAACAGGTACCTCATGGGAAGATGAACAAGCCAGTCAGAGACTAAATAAAGATGTTTCCTGCACCTTTCCACAAAAAAAGAGAGAGAGTTTATCTGCCTCTTCCTCTGGAACCTCTTCGCCAGTGCAATTCGAAGCAGCTGAGAAAATTAAGCAAGTCAAAACTAGACTGCAGCTCGTGGACCTCGCCGGTAGTGAGTGTGTTGGTAAGGGAATGTGGCTGCTTGTGGGCATGGATCCTCCCAGATCCAGGTTACAATAGCTGCCTTTAGTTCTTTTATGGCGGAGTAGATGCTACCCTGCTCACATACCGGGCTCATTTAAACCCACAGATCCTGCCATTAAAAAAATGTTGAGGGCTGATTGTTCCAGTTTTACACTGGTACAGTATAACAGAAAATCTGATTGCATAAGCTTAAAATAAGCCCAGTGCGTTTACCCATATCATAGGTATATTATTTGTTCTAACTGGTTTTATTAGGTCTGTTTTTCTGCTCTGGAAATTAGCATCTTTTTGTACAGAAATGTTTGAAGTGCATAAATTATTTAAATATTACAAATATCTGTAATAGTTGATACCACCACGTGTAGGGTTTTCTGCCTTGTTGTGGAAACAGTCTTGGAGGAAATTAGTGTTGAAAAGATAATATTGTTTTCATTGTTTCTTCAAAGCATTTTCCTCCTCTGTGCACACAATAATTTCAAAAACTTCATTATTTCCTAAAGGACAAGCTTTCTTACCAAGAAAAACCATGCAGCCAAATGTACCATTCCAGAAATAATGTTTTGAAAACTGAACCAGTATTATGAAAGAGCCTTTTACTTCACTGCCAAGAATTTTTGCTGTTGCTCACTGTTAAACTTTTGTTCTACAGAGAAACCTAATATAATACTTTTTTTTTTTTTCATTTGCTCTAAATGCTGAAAACATGTAATTGAGCAACAGGGTGTGTGTTTGTTCTCTCAGTTAAACTAGGACAAACATTTCCTTGGGTTGGTGCTCGGCAGGCCAGATCCTCCAGTGAAGCCAGAAGAGCTGTGCTAACATCAGCGTTAGATGTGGCCCAGCACACACAGCAGACTGACCTCTGCCAGCAGCTGTGCTGGTGAACTTACCCTGGTAAAAGTGAGGGCAGCTGTTAACTCATAATTATTTTAAAATGTCGGCAAATCTAAGCGAGCGGCAGTACATCAGGCTTCTCACACACCTCAGCACCCTGCCTTGTTAGCTCTACGGCTGTGCTGGGTCATTTACAGCATTTACAAGCCAAGTGGTCCCTTTCTGGCAAGCTAGGTTTCAGTTTGAAAACTCAGCTACATGGTTTCGTGGAAGTTCATCTAACCAAACACAGATAACCAGCGGTTAAACAGGTACCGCCTCACCTGTTTGCAGTTTTCTGCTTTAGGGTGGTATCCATTGACTCAGGAGTCCACCTTTCCTTGAATAAAAGAAGCCTGGGGATGTCTGTATACACAATGACCTCAGTAAAGTTAGCCTGAGATTCATCCTGTCTCTGATTGTTGTCCCCCCTTTGGCAGGTCTTCCAAATGTTTTTCTCTGTGTCTCTCTGACAAGAGACTCCACCACTCTAACCTCATCCTCTCCCACAGTCACGTTTTTCCTCATTGTCCAGACTTCTGACGTTTATGCTATTACTGTGCCTTTTCACATTTGCCTCTTGAACTCCTTATTTGTTCTCTGAGTTTGGAAAATGCTGGCTAAGGGAAAGACAAGATCTCTAGCTGCTCCCTGTACCTGTCTAGAGGTGGGAAAGTAGGCAGCAGAGGAAACTGTTAGCCCTATCTGATCATGCCATTACCGTGAGCTCTCCCTAACATGGATCATGTGCTCTGGGAAAGGAGAAGTGATTGCAGATCACTTCTGTACCTCATCCACTGTCCTGAACAAAGCTCGAATTTGAATAATGTGTTACTAAATGCTAATAGCAAATTTCTCTTCCCCAAATGGACAGGAGGAATGAATTACTCTTAACTGCACACTCATCTAGACTGATCAAAGAGTTGAGCTTGCAGCACCTCTTTGAATTGGTGCAAGGTGTTGCGTAGACCAAACCTTTCCAGTGTTGCTCAGGGGCAGCACAGCTACAACCATGCTGGTTGGGTGGTAGAAGGGCATAATTTTCCTTTATCCATTTCCTTACAGCAAATCATGCCATAAACCACCACCTCACAGCCTTGGGTGGACGCAAACCCCTCACACTTGTGGCTGCTATACAGTTTTGCTTCTGCAGCTTGTGTCATCAGTGCCTCCCCTCTTTTTCCTAAGGGATACAGATGGGGCAGTTACCTATTATAAAAAATGGTGAAACAAAACAGGCTTCTTTCTGGGGACATTGTGGACTGGTGTTTTGTCTTGTCTGATCATAAGGTGTTCCTATGTTCTCAGTTCCTTATTCTTAATACATATGAAGCCAAAGTGCATTGTACAGCTGAAGAGATCAACTTTAACGTGACATGCTTCAGACCATCTGTAGGCACTGAACCTTCTTTAACCTTCCTTCAAAAGAGTAGAGCATTAAACAATGTACTGGTAGTCCAGACTGAAAAACCACTGCATCTTGCTTTTGGCATGGGTGGGTTGGAAGTAGAAGTTCAGAATTTGTGTTTAAAAATGTTGAGTCAAAAGTAGATGATACAGCAACAGAATTTTCCCCACATTACAGTTTGAAGCAGCTTTGCTTAGTGTTACCATTGCCTTTTTCTACACTGTACCAGGTATGTCTGGAGTGACAGGGGCAGCACTGAGAGAGACGTCGTTTATTAACCGCAGCTTGTCTGCCCTGGCTGACGTTCTCGGAGCAATAGCAGAGCAGCGGTCTCATGTCCCATATCGGAATAGCAAACTTACCCATCTGCTTCAGGACTCCGTAGGTGAGGGATTATTCTGACTTCTGTTTAACAATGTAGATATCTTCTCCTAGTTTTCTCCTTCGTTTGTTGTGTAAAACTAGAGGATGATCTTGTACTCCTTGCTCTTATGTGGCCTCTGTTCAAAGACTCTGGCCCTGGAGCCAGTGTGAGTGTGAGTACACTGTGAGAGTTCTGAACTCCTCCTGAATTTGGCTAAACCTTGCTGTTTCCAGGGTTCATTTGAGGAACATCTCAATAGGATCATGTAAAAGTTCAAAACTGCATTTCAGTGGTGTTTCATGTCAGGTACAGTTTACAAGTTAAACTTCAGTCTTTATTACTACAGTGTATAATCAAGTACTTGCACTTTCCTTAATATTGTGCCCTGCAGCAGTAAGATAAAGGAGAAAGACAGGACATGGTACTTTGCTACAACTTCTTTCTGTGTTTGGGACACTTCCTCTTCTCTAGCTCCTCATCTATGCAGAAACAGTTTTAAAGCAAGTGATATTTCTGCAGTAATGTCAGATTTGTGTCCATTTTTATAGTACATTAGTCCATTTTCCTTCAGCCAGAAAATATTAGCCCTCATACTTTTAATCTCCAAGGCATTGACAGTGAATGAGATAACAGTTTTTCGGAGCTTCTGAAATACTATTAATTTTTGCTTAAACTTTGAATTTCACCTAGTGCTGGAGTCCCTGCTGTGAAAAGGGAAAGCTAAAAA